TAAAAATGTGTTTGTAATATAAAGTGCCTGCAGCCATCACATCTACCTTACAATTATACAGTGCTAAAATATTATTACTATATTATATTATATAATTCAACGATCCACTCAAATAAGGGCAACACTATAGCTCAGAGGATAAGCAACTGTCCCATGTTTACATAAACTCTAAACGGAAATCGCTCAGTGTGGCGTGTTAGTGTGGTGGTTAACACTGCTGTTCTTGTTTTCTCCATGTGGAGCTTGGATCATGATTTTCAACCTTATTCTGGAAAGAACATAAACCCCATAATGCATGCACCCAAGGCGGAACATTTTTGTACTTTCTAGGGTTCCAGGTTTAAACCCTTTTGAGGCCTTCACGTAAGGGCTAGATTGTTATGACTTTCTCCCACTGGAGTGTGGACCATGATTTTAAACTTCCTTAATGTACTGGAAAGTACATAACTCCTAAAAAAAAGCAAGCGCCGAGAAGCAGCATGGTGGTGAAGTGATTAGGACTACTGCCCAGACTATGTCCGGGTTCACGGTTCAAATCCAATGCAGGGTAAGTGCAGGGAGATTCCAGGGGAAACAGCTTCTCCTCCAGGGTGGGGAGGGAACACTGAATGTGGAGGATGCTTAGATCGCTAGTTTAATCCGTTTTGGATGAATAGGCCTGATGCAAGTGGACTTCTTTAATCTTTACTTACTTAATTTTATCAGTCAGAGCTAGCCATGGCTGAGTGTGCGGACTCTAAATTTAAGGATTCACAGTTGAGGGAGGACATCCAACACAAAAAACAGGAACTGAAAGCTTTGTCACTGACGCTTTGGCTCAGGCAAAGCATATTTCTAATATGCTGTACTCAAGTCTAGTTGTCCTGGCGACACCGTCACTTTCTTTGCCAGTCTGATTTTCATTTATGAATTTAAGCAATTTTAGGCTTTTAACTTCTTTGTACTACTTTTATTTATTTTATGGCTTTTACGTGTTGTTTTGTTTTTACTTCTTCAGGCTTTATTCATTTTCTTTGACTGCTTTCTTTTCTGTTTCCTCTCAGCTGCATTTGAACTTTTTAACATTTTATTTTTTACAGCTTTTGTTCCCTCGGTCTATGGTCTAGCCCAGTGTTTCTCAAACTTTTTAGACTGCGTACCACCTCCGAAAATATTTGGCTCTCCAAGTACCACCATTATGGTAGACGTTAAAATACACTGTAGGCCTATTTCAACACACATTTCATACATGAGGCAAATTAATTCATAACAGGAATATTATATATTATTAACTGCTGGCAGCCACACTGTAGGCCTACTAAGGGCTAGTGCTAGAACTTGAACACACAAAAGTGCAGAACAATAAAAATGACAACTTTATACCAACCTGTTTGGAAATATTTAGTCTCCAGTGTTTCCCTCACAAACACAATACCTGGGCCCAAGTATATTTCCGACCTGTTCTCATTTAATTTTTCATTTATTCATAAAAATCTGTTGTCAAAAAAATCTGTTAATGTAGGCCTACATTAACAGATATTCTGTTATTTATTGGAGTTCAGCACACAATCCGCACGCAGCAATTTTATGAGCAGGGGCAGATTAAAGTTGTTTGTTGCAAAAACTAGATTAATTTAGAGGGAAAACACATTTGACATAAATACAACCCAATAGATACAAGCTAAATAAGAGTACGACAAAAAAAACAATGTCGTTTTATGCTGAACGGGTTTGTTTTTTATATTGTGGAGATTTCTTTGCGTACCACCACAGGGAGCCCACGTACCACTGGTGGTATGCGGACCATACTTGAACCACTGGTCTAGCTAACAGCTTTTGTTCTAAGTAAATATCCTGGATACTTGTAATCTAGCTAACATGTTATTAGTTAGGTAGGTTACCTAACCTGAATTCTTGTAGTGTACCTAACATGTTGTAAGCTAGATACCTAACCTGAATTCTTGTAGTGTACCTAACATGTTGTAAACTAGATACCTAACCTGAATTCTTGTAGTATACCTAACATGTTGTAAACTAGGTACCTAACCTGAATTCTTGTAGTGTACCTAACATGTTGTAAGATAGATACCTAACCTGAATTCTTGTAGTGTACCTAACATGTTGTAAGATAGATACCTAACCTGAATTCTTGTAGTGTACCTAACATGTTGTAAACTAGGTACCTAACCTGAATTCTTGTAGTGTACCTAACATGTTGTAAGATAGATACCTAACCTGAATTCTTGTAGTATACCTAACATGTTGTAAGCTAGGTCCCTTCGTATAACTAGCATTTTTTTAAGTTGGTGTCCTGAATACTCATTGTCTATGTTTTTAGCTTTTTACTTGAGCTTGTGCCATGAGGTATTCCAGTAAACGGATGCTTCTGTGTATTTTTCGCAAACTTATCTCTCTTGTCAGTGCTCTTTTGTCTATAATCTCCCTTTTATTTTTTTATCTAAACTCCAACTGAGACTCAATTCTGTTTTTGGTAAGTCATAGGCACAAGATTCCTGGAACTTTAGTTTATTCTTGCCAAAAATATTGCTGAGAGAGTGATCATCTGGTTTGCCAAAACAAGCCTCTAGACTTTATGTCAAGCAATCTGCTATCATAGCTCCTTTTATGTTAGCCATATGGAGTGTTTCTTGTTTGTTTGTTTTTGCGCAGTCTGTTGATTTAATCACAAATGAAATACAGTGTAATTTCCTACTTTGATGTGTTAAGTGTTTGGTGTCAGTAACAATAATATGACTACAGATGTTGCTGAAATAATGTCAGGCTTTCTATCTGGTAATTGATCCCCAGGGTTTAACACAAAGTTTCAGTTTGTGTAAAACTTTTAAATGACTCATAAGCACAGTGGAGGTGTGCTTACAGTAACTGTGAGCTGTTGTCTTGGGCTGTGGTGGTGGTGGTGGTGGTGATATCTTATTTGGCCCAGAATCACTGACATCCCTGCTTAGATACTCAGCTAAAATGTAAATTAGATTTTTATAAATTGTTTGTGTTTTCTTTTTTGATTGTTATACTGCTCCCATGTTAAAAAGTAAGTCATTATTCTTTTGGTTTTAATAGATAAATTCTGTATTCAAACTGACAAAAAAAAGAAAAAAGAAACACCTAATAGTCTTCATATCCTATAAAATCTTACCTGGAAATATTTATATATTGCATTAATATTCCTTAGAAAATATTTTGAATTATAGGATATGGTAAAATTATAAAAACAATACTGAAATTTTGAAAAAAAAAAACAATTTTAGATAAAAAAAACAACCCATTAAAACACAAGACAACATTATCACAGGGCATTGAAAAGTACAGACATTTGGTAAGACATATTGATATATAGTTAATACTATTGTTGAGTGAAGAGAGAAACAGGAAGTAGTAAGAACGGCAATCACAATATGTTACTGTTTTTAAGACAGTACTGCCATCTACTGGACATTTTGTAGATTCTTTCCCCCTCATAAAGTTACTGGATAATTATATTTACCAGAACAGCAGAAGGTACCAGGCCTTTCTGTTTGATAAGCATGCCTATAATTGGTTATACTTCATATGAAGCCTTTGACACTCAATTGAAATTCAATACATATATTTTTTTATTTTTAAATTTGTGTTTCAAGTCGGCTGGTTTGGGGAGAATGGTCTTTCGCTCCTGTGTATGTTGAGTGTATATGTAAGAATTTTTTTTTGATAAAATATCTCCCATAATGCTATACTCCCCCCCCCCCAGCTAAATTCCATATTTAAACAAAACAAACAAAAACAAAAACCTAAACTTTCAATCCTTGTAGTCTGTGGAAAAAACCTTGTCCAAAAGCCCTTAAAACTAGAAAAACGTTTCCAGTTAGATGTATTGAGGTAGCAACAGTGTGTTGATTTGACTTAATTGTATTTGTTTATTTGGCTTCTTGAACCTCTATAATTAAAATATAATCAGTATCTTCAAAGATCCACAGGTGGTCGCAGGAAGGATTGTGGGTGAGGAACTTGGGGATGTGAGATCAGTCAGGACAACAAGAGTTCTTCATTAAATATCTGTCGAAGTGGCAGAGTGACAAAGCACTGAGAATAAGAAGATTTGGATATCACCCCGAAGGAAAGACATAGAAGTCATATAATGGACAAGTCTATTATGAGAAGGGTAGACTTTGGAAATATTACTGTCAAAATCCGGTAGGTGGCGGTAATGTAACACTCAAAGATTCTAACAGCCATTATACCAAACAGAGGAAGATGAACTCTCCACGTAGAGCAGGGGTGTCCAAAGTGCGGCCCGAGGGCCATTTGCGGCCCTTGAGGGGATTTTTTGCGGCCCGTGACTTCAAATGAAGAATCAGAAGATTTTGGCCCGAGGCCTTGATTAAGATTGGCACATGTTATCAAGGGCTGAACAATATTCCTAAAATAGAAAATGTATGTTGTTGTTGTTGTTTTTTTTTTAAATCTACAGATTTTACTATTTTCACATTTTTTGTAAACTATGAAAAAAAAACGTATGCAAACAGTTTTTGCAAACAAGCGGACTGTTGTTTAACCATTTAATGACCTTTTTAAATTAAGTGTTCTGTTTTGTTTTAATTAATGTTTTGTAAAAGCGGGGCAGATATTATAAGATTAATCTTCTTTCTGCTCCTTTTCATTCAACATTTGAGATTTTATGTTTGTTTTTCTTAACTTTATTGTTTTTTTTTTCATGAAATAAAATTGACAAATAAGAAAATAAAATAAAACCTGAGCTAAATGCAGAAAGCTTTTCCAAAAAAAACAAAACAAATAAAGTAAAATATTTGATTTCCTTTTATTAAAGGGTTTCTTTAGCGAGCCTTTTGATTCTGATCTACAAAGCCTTACTATTTTTTTTTTTAACTATATTTGCGAGCGATTCTAACGCGACAATTTTGACCCGCAAGAAAAAAAAAAAGTTTGGACACCACTGACGTAGAGGAAAAAGGTTTTCCGAGCAGACCCTGAACGCACCGTGACGCCCCGCCCAGACGCCGTGACAACAGACGACGCTGCTCGCTGCTGCTGCTCGCTCCGACGCGCTGTCCAGGTGTTCGCTCTATGTTATTGCAGAGATCTGGACTTGGTTTTGAGCTTTGTCACTTTATCCGCATGAGATGGCCTAACGTGAAATGCTTTGTGTCGGAGTCCGGCTGTCACTCGGACGTGTTTAAAGCCGTCTCATCACTCCCTCTTCTCCGCGAGAACGAAGCGGGAATACCGTTAAAATGAAGACTGACACAGGGGTGAACATTTGAGCTGTGTGTTTATACCTCGATTGGGAGAAGATAGCCATTAGCCGACTAGCCTGAGACACCCGGCGGCAGCTCGGATATCTTAATTGCGCGGCTATGGCTGGGCTCATCAAGAAGCAGATCCTGAAGCATCTCTCCAGGTCAGTCCTTAGCGACGTTAGCAGACAGGTTGAGCGGTGCTGTCAGTTACTGTAGCCCCGCTGACCTGAGACGTGGCTAGTCAGCTAACGTGCTAACACTGGGGCTAATCCCTCAGTACCTGTTTTAGCAGGTTGAACCTGTCGAGTGGTGGAGTCTTGATTGTGTACAGCAACAATCTCAGCCTGCCCATGGAGTCAAAACAGCCTCCAGTCACTGCTTATCGAGCAAATACACTGATGGCAAAACTAATATTTCAACTTGGATTTGAATTTAATACTCAAATCAAGTGTGAAGGCAGGGAGGGGTTCAGGTTTGTTTACCTCGTTTATGTGGTTTTATCACCACTGTGTCCACCCTGATGATAATAATACCCACAATAAACTTAATTAACTCAGCAGCCTTCATTCGAGGGGATGAAGATAAATCCATGAAATTAAAATTTTACAAGAGCATGAAGGTGTTTGTGATATAAGAGTAACACAATTGTAAGTTTAAAGCAATGTTGAATTAGATTGTTTTTTGTTCATTATGAGAGAGAAACTAACTATGATGTCATCTTAAATGAATAAAGGGGTTTGTTTACCTAGAGACAGATGATTCCAATATTGCTCCATGATTTTTTTTTTTTTATAGCTCTACCACTTGCTGTTTTGTGTGTGTGTGTGTGTGTGTGTGTTTTTAATGTCTTGCTGTTATGGGCAGCATGCATTATTTATTCTTTTCCACTGCCTCTCAAGAGCCGTTCAATGGACTACTTCCTTGTTTTGTTCCAGGGGAACGGGATTACACTTCTGCACTAACCTGCTATTGACCTATCACAGAGCACAATTCACATCTGTAGTTGTTCTGTCCCACAGATGAAGGGAGCCCTGAGTAAGAACTACAATGGCGTAATTCCAAACTCAAATATGGACAGCGGTGCCTACATTGAATGGCAGCTGGTCCTACATGATTTAAGCCTTTTGAAAAGCTCATGAGTATTTAGGTGGACCAGTTTGTGTAAAGTTTTGCGTAAAGGTGAATTTGCTGTGCGAGAAATCCTTTGTGCTGACTGAGTTGTGACTGGTTAATACCTTGTTTTGTCCTTCACACTCTTACACAACACCACTGGTAAGATTTACAATGTCTGTGCTGTGGGCTGTGATCAACATGCCCTTCATTGTCCTAGTGTGAGTGTGTGTGTGTGTCTCTTTGTGCTCTATGTGTGTGTGTGTGAGTGTTCGCAGATGACTGTGCATAGCCCTCAGCAGCATTAGCATCAGCAGTGGCAGGAAATGACTTTAGGAGTTGTGATGTCATCTGCCTTTAGGGACACCGTCTGATCATCTGATTGGTGCGGGCGCTGTGCGGAAGCTGACCTGTCCGACAGCGCGGCCAATCTTGCGCCGTTCAGTGCAGTGACGCCACGTTAAAAGTGCTGATGTCATGAAGCCAAATCAGCATTACGTCACACGCTCGGCGTTATGTTTTCAAATACATTTAACTGTGATTACTATGCACGAGGGGGATGCTTAGCCAGGAACGGTTTGTACTTCTAACAGTGTTATTCACAGACACTTCGTAGGTGTGCTTACACAGCTACTGGTTATGTTGTGGGTGTCAACATGCCATGTCAGCCTCCGTGCTTGTACGGTAGCAGAGGACACACGTCTGCCCAATGTGGTCTGTGTGTTTGTCCAGCGAAGGAGGCTTTACAGTTCATCGACTCACATTTGTCTGCAGTGGCTGCTCCTTCTCTGGCCAAGACAAGTGCACTGAAGCATGCATGACATATTAAGCTAGTTGAGAGGGCCTTTTGTGTTCACGGTGGACTGTAAGAAGACACATGCTGTGTGGCTCAAAGTATTACTCGACATGCATTGATTCAGTTTTATTCTGTAATTTGAGAGCGTTTTGTCGAAGTGCCGTACAGTAGATTGAACTCGGGTAGCCCCTTGGGGTGATTTGATGACATGGAGTGTGTTCGTCTGGTTTAGATTATCGACAGGACCCAGGCCCACGGCCAGACAGAATCAGATCCTATTACACACACAGACACAAATACAGCTGGACATAGCCGTGGCTGGACATAGTAAGGTCACATTCTGCCGACGTAGTTTACCCGAAAGAGAGAGATTTCACAGAGAGCTGTGAGGTAAGGCTCAGCTGCAGAGCACACGCATGGAGCTGATAGATGTCCTTAAAAACAGGTGTCCTAGGAAACAGTTTGTTTGAATGACAGGTCTTGTGACACAGAAAATGGGCTCCCAGATGGGGACAGGTGACTTTGAATGTTGAACCTCTTGCCTCCTTTATTCCATCTGTCCATTTGTGTTTGTCCTTGCTCTTCCCCTCTCTTGTTTGTTCGCTACAAAAACTTGCCCTGAAGCTAAATACATTTAGTTTGGCTCCTCTGTGCATGAAAGAAAAAGGCAGATTCCCAGAGCTAAAGCAGACTTTGATCTTGTTTGTCTGACAAACAGTTTATAATCCAGAGATATACAACTTGTTAAGGTATAAAGCTGAGAAAAGTCTGCGACTCACATTATACAAGATATATTTAGCAAATGTGTTGCATTTCTGATTCAGGAAACAGTTATTCCATGTTCTTAATTGTTCCACATTTCTTTCTGTAGAGTGATTTATCTGTTAATCCTCAATTCTTTGAGTTTGTAATGCATTTATGAGCTGCTTTCTTTCTTTTGTCTTCATTTTAGTAAGATAAAATCAACTGGGAAACTCGAGTTAACTTATATTCCCTTTATTGAAGCCATGGGAGTCCTGAAAAATGTACTATTGGTTTAAAAAAGACCCCTTCTTCATCCTACACCCTGACTACAGAATAAATCTCTACTAGTAAGTGTCACAAGACCACCACGGCACAAGAATGTTTCAGGTTAAAGGAAGCATGATTCACAGCCTACGTCAAGGGGGGACCTTGGATACTTTGAATTCTCGAGGGAGATTTGTTTGATTTGCTCAGAGCGAGCTGATGATGGACAGACTTTCACAGACCGAGCCCTTTTTAGAGTGAGAAGATAATCACCACCCTCTAATGAAAAGAGCTCATGACCTCAGATATTAGTTTTACTGTCAGGCTGGTATGTGAGGTCCATTTTGGGGTTAAGTTGGGACATTACACGCTTGATGACTCAGGCACAGCCTCTCTAACTTTTCCCCTCATTTGGGATTCTGTAAAGTTTACAGTCTGCCATGCTGTTGTCCCGCGTTGAATCCATTATACAGCTTTAAAAAAGTGCACAGATTCGATTGATAAAATACAAACTGGTGATTGGATTCTGACTTTTTGGGGTGCTTCCCTTCAAAAAAATTTCTCGGAAATCTTAGTCCACCAGCTTATCCCACAAGATTTCCATCCATTACATTTAATTACAGGGGAGACCGGTTGGTTTCTGGAGCCATTTTCAACTCCGATCCCTCTAAGGATGAGCGCGAGGGATTGTAACCCATCATTTGAAACATGCCATCCATTGTGTGCACATATAACATCTCCATCAGTGGAGATTTAGTGCCACTGTGGTGTGAGAGATGAGTCCATAAATCTCCTCTTGTGTTTGTCGTCATGATCCTGCTTTTTTTTTTGTCTCTCCACCGTGCAGTAGCTGCGTAATGATGCACCTCAGAGATGAACTCCACTCTTCCCAGTGTTGTCGCTCGCTGGTGGGAAGGCGATTATGGCATGAGTCACGAATGAGTGCCTGGCTGTGGGTGTCTCATCAGTGTGAAGCTGTGAAGCACTTCTCTGTGTGTTTTTGAGTGTGTGAGAGAGAGCGAGAGCGAGAGAGACATTTGCTCAGGGTCCCTCCAGGCCCTGACGTCCTCTGCGGCAAAGTCACAAAGGTCTCGGATTGTTTTCTCTTTCACTCCGACCTTTTCCACCAGGTTATGAATATTCCAGGTCTCTGGGGCATTTTTCCACGCCTGCCAATATAAACTCACTTCACTTTGACAGGTTGCCTGAGTGTTATGGAGTTGTTGCCCCCACTGATGCGTGTGTGTGGAGGTGTATTTTATGCAGGAGTTTTACGGTAGGAGATGAGTGTTTTTTTTCCCTGGTTAGCAAGTTTTTCGGCCACTAATAAATCAAAGTTATCACTCCCGATGATGCATGACATTATCCTGCTCAATGTGCTCTTTTGAAAAGATTTTAAAAGCAGCTCAGACATCAGAAAGTCACCTTTTGATACTGTAATAACGTAAATTGTCCATTTTCTGAATCTACAATCGAGCTTGAAGGCTCCTAAAGATGATATTGATGAATATTGGGTACAGATATAGTTACCAGCAGATAGTGTCAGCTGGTAACTCAGAATGGTTCACACATGGGTGTGCTTTGTTATTTTTAGGTTGTGTTGTTTGGGGTTTCCATTTGATTTACCAGCTCGCCCACACTGCAGGCAGTCAAAAACACCGCAGTGCTTCTGTCCTCCCAACAGGAGAGCAGCCGAGGGAAGAAAGCAAACACATTTGATTTTTTTTTTTAAACAAACAACAATCCATTACATTTGTAAAACTTTCTTCATGTAAAATATTGGACTGTAAAATGACTTCTTACAGATGAGCTGAGTTTTATTGACACCTTTCTCGTGTCATTTATTGGATTGCCCTGTTGTGTCTCCTTTCTTTCAAACATTTTAAAGGTTTGAGTGTGACTGTCTGTCTGTTATTTTGGTCCATGAATCGACCCGATGTCCATTCAGGTCTGGCAGCTTTACTAAGAAGGGTTGTCAGGCTTCTTTCCCCCCCCCCCTCTTCAGCAGACTCATTACGCCCTCCTGCTAACACTGAATGGGCTCGTGAAGGATTTAGAGGCCGGTTTAAAAAGTCACATTCTCTGTTTCTGTTGTCGAGCCAAGCCCGCTGCTACTCTCTCAAATGAGCAGTGGCAGGAAAACCACACTCTTAAAACATTGGAGGAGCACCCTGAGGAAAACTCCTCCTCTTTATGTCTCTAATCTTTCATTTCTACCTCGTTTCCTTCTTTATTATTTCTCTGTTCATGTTGCCATTGTCTTTGTTTGCTAAAACACGCTAGTTGCCTCGTTTGAGTCACTCTTGCTGTCTTCCCTGTCTCTTGTGGTGATGTCATCAAGCTGCACCACAAACGCACCGTCAGAGCAGGAAAAGCCGAGAGTCTGTCTCTTTTTTTTTTTGGTCTTTTTTTCCATTTCCAGTCGTGGTTTGGGAAAAGAAACTTGAAAACCACCCAACTGTTGCAGACGTCTTCAGTCGATTTTTGCTGAAGTATGCACAATGAGACAGACTCCACATCACCACCAAGATGTACTTTTATTTATTATTAACGAACAGAATTATATTGATCATGCTACTTTAATGATTCTAAGAACAATAAGTGCCTATAACTAACATTTACAGAGTGAATTGTACTGTTTAGTGCTCAACTTTGTGTTTACAGTCCTCATCGGCCTGAAGCGAGCCCTAATCTCTTCATGGGCCTGGATTTGTCGGGGTGATCTCGACCCTGCTGACTGGATAAAAGGCAGACGAGATGAAAGGGAAAGAACTCAATTACCTCATGCTCTTGCTGCTGTTCTCAGTAATAAGTCAAAACCCCGGTGTGTAATTTAGCTTATTTAGCATTAGCAGCCTCGGTGTTGGAATAGCTGATGAGCAGCATATTGTTTGATTACAGTGTTGGTTTATTTATGACTCTGGAAGAACGGGAGAGGAAGCAAGAGAAGGCCCTAGGGAGACAGATAAGGAGTGAGAGAAGTTGGCCGAGTAGCCGGTTGATACTTGATCAGCAGCAGGGATGAATATTTCACTGGTTACACAGCTAGAAAGATACTCCAGTGACTCTATTTTAAACTTTTGGATTTATTTATGGCCATTAGAGCACCTGTATGTGAGATATTTTGTGTGTTTTTTTTATGTCCTCATTTCTTGTTTCCACTGTGCTGTGTGTGTGTTTTTGATGTCTGCTGCCACCGCTGAATAATTCACAGGGACATTTGAATTAGACCAGAATCTGCCAGGAGAAGGTGTTGAGTAGAAGGAAGAATTTGACAGACTGAATCATTCAAAGCGTAGGCAGCTGAATCACAAAGTGTTGCTCGTGGGACAAAGTGTCTCTCACCCTGTAGATGCAGAGCCTCAGTACACCTTGCTGTTTCTCCTGTATCCTGGAAGACAAAGCAACTCATGAGGAGAAAAACCTTTTGTCTGCAAAGGAATATCAAGTTACTGAGTTGCCCCATAATCATTTATTTAGTTAATTGTGTGTTTTGGTTAGCGGAGGCAGTATATTGTCAAACCCATGGCTCTTCCAGCTGATCCCGACTGCACAGACTAACCAAACGAGCAACATGTCAGATCCACAGAACTCTCTGGTACCAGCCAAAAGTTAGCCCTGATTATAAAAAAAAAAAGAAGCTTTTTCAGGATGACGGTACCTTTAATTAATTTGCCTTGATTGTACTTCTTGTGTCAACTGAAATGGAAAATGTAATGGGTGTGGCGATACATTGGGCTAGTAAAATGGAAAACGTTATCTGACTGTGGAATGTGTTTTGAGTTCTTTGGTAGCACATCTTCCTTGTCACCTTTCCTTGTCTCTGGCAAAAAGAAAATTGGACACATTGAACCATGAATAAGCATTTGGAAAGCTGAGATCTCAAGCGCACAGTCACAGTAGGAGTGTGCTCCAGATCTCAGATCCAGATCCTGCATCAGTAGTCCTTTGGGTGAGGCCGCATCTTCAGCCTTAAGTAGGCGACGTATTGTTTGTTATCAGTGCTGAAAGTCAGGTATTCTTTTGTCACCAATGTGAAAAGATTTTCAAGTTTTTTTTTTTCATGAGCGTAGTAACACACTTTCCTCAGCATGCGTCTCAAGCAAGTGAGTCAGTGAAAGAGTCGAGGTTTGTAGATGTAAAACAATCAGGTCACTCTGTCAGTAATGCGTGTTGGCTGTGTGTCACGCTGAGCTTTGATCCGGCCCTCTTTACAGATAACATTCTGTAAGTGTTTGACGGATTAGCAAGGTAACAAGATTAAGCTTACAGTATACTGCATGTGTGTGTCTGAGAGCGACTAGCAGTATTTATTTTATTTTTTTACACCACTGTGAAATCAATACTCGCCCTGTTTTTCAGGAATTCTGCTCTGCTGAGACACACGGCTCAATAAAGCATGTAGTGCGATGCCGCTCTGCTAACTATTAACCAATGACCAAACTGTGAAAACACTTTGCTCGTGGACATTGACTTTGTATGTTCAAGTGTATTTACTGAAGCTAAGGCGCTAACAGACTAAACACACAGAATCACGGTAACATACAGAGGTTATCATGTCAATGTTGTCTTACGGCTTTAATAAGTAATAGGTGTTATCATCACATGCAGCATAGGTACACTTTGACTAGTCCAGTCCTGTCTGTAACGTCACAAACAGCAATTATCCTGAGCAAATATACCTATTCTATCACTGAACCAAATCTGAAGGCTCTGTTTCTTTCTGTCTAAAATCCTCTTTGGATCTCAAACTCAATAAAATCAGCCTAATAGGTAACTATGGAAATAAAGCAAAGAAGTACGTTAACTAGAAAGCTTCAACATAGTGGGGGAAAAGCCTTATCTTGTAGTATTTATTTCCATCCTTGTAAACAGGTAACATGTCTCATAGTACGACGTCAACAGGAATATATAACTGTCAATTCCAGGATTGTTTATGTTTATAAAAATGCAAGTTTTGTTCCCCAGTAAAGTTAATTTGGAAGTTGTTGTTTTTAGTTTGTTTAAAAATGTGTCCCTTGGGTAAAACATATTGCCAGATATTCATGGCTGACTCTTCAAAAAGCCACATTGCAGACACTGATGTGTGTGTCGCCTTGGAAAGGCGCCCCTCTCTTCTCATCCAAATCACAAAGCTGACAGTCAGGGTTTTGTTTGGCCGGCCTGACGCTTTGCCAACGACCCGTTTTCTATAATTATCCGCAGCGCTCTCACAAAGCTGCGTTTTCTCTTCTGTGTCTCGTTAGGTTTGCGAAGAATCTGTCCCCGGACAAGATCAACCTGAGCACGCTGAAGGGGGAGGGTCAGCTGACCAACCTGGAGCTGGATGAGGAGGTTCTCCAGAGCCTGCTGGACCTGCCCACCTGGCTCGCCATCAACCGCGTGGGCTGCAACAAGGCCGCCATCAGGGTGAGGGGACACTGTCATATCTGTCAAATTGTTCTCTTATTTTCAACCTAATGTAACCGCCACTGCAGGTAACAACACCAACTATCAGGAACTCTAAAGCTCACAGATGAACATATTTCATTTCTTCAACCTTAACAGAAAAAGGGAATGACATGGGGTTTACAGTTAGTGATGTTTCTGACACCTTTTTAGCCGACTTCCGCCCAGAATCAAAAAAATAGTCCATTACCATTAATTCATAAAGTGATACATTCTTTTTAATTTGAAAGGTTAAACAAATATGATATGTTTTTCAACATTAATGGAGCATGCTAGGTGTTTCCTGTCTTTTCCAGACTTTTCGCTATGCTACGTAAGCTACCTGGCTGCAGGCTTTAGCCTAAGGAGTACAAGGTAAAAAAATGGAGTTAATGGAAGCGGTTATCCCCTAAAAAAAAAAAAAAACTCCCCAAAGTTTTTTATAGTAGTTATCCTCTGATTATATACAGACCTGTTGATACTTTCATCAAGAAACATTATAGAAACCTTGTCGCACATATCTTGTACACTGTCAAGGACTTCTTTCATTAAAATCACGTACTAACACACACACACTGGTGTAGCTGTCTGGTGCCCCTGATGTGTTCATAGCCGTCAGCAAAATGCCATGTCTCAGAGCAGACTCTGACACACCCTGGAAACAGTGAATGGAGCTGAGTAACTTGCTTCGTGACTGGACTTTTCTTTAATCCAAGGTCCATGCTGCACCTCGTCCTTTCCTCCTCCACCTCATGATTCTTCTCTTTTATCCTCTTCTTCCTCTATGAACCTTTTCTTTTCTTTCTTTTTCTTTTAGTTGTTTCTACATTTCTTTTCCTGAATTTCTCTCTACTCCACCTTCAGGCCAGTGGACTGATTTATTTCCTGAGCTTATTTGCCATGTCATTGAGAGTGTGTAATCCTAATGCAGTGTTGCGAATATCGTATAATACCCACGTCATTACAGTGAGTGTGTGGAGGATTCGAGTTTCAGTGAGCAGCCTGGCTCCAGCCGAAAGTCTATTGTGGTGTTTAATGTCTAACTGTTAAAAAGGAGAACAGAGATGTGTATCTGACTTCCTCTCTTGTTAGATCCCCATCTCTTCTTTGTCTCTTCCTGTTACATAGGAGCTCAATCCAACACACGTTTTAAAACACTCTCATTAAGACATTCAAGTCAATGGAGGTTGTTTTATTGATTACCCATAATTACACAGATTTAAGCAGTTATCAAGGATTCTGCTTTGATATCTCAAACGTGACTGGCCTGAGCAAACACACACTACTGGTATTTCCTGGCATGATAGACGTGAGGCAAATAAAAATGCATCTCGAATTCAATCACAGCAGCAAGTCCTGAGCACTTTCTCACTTCTTGATTTACAACGTCATAAAATGACTGACGCTGAGGGGGAAAAACTGCAATGTAACAGAAGCATTTCATCTATTTTACTGCATAATTTGACACGGACTTGATGCATGTTGAGGATTAATGGAGCGAAACCGGACAAACTGTCAGTCTAGACTCATTTTTTTTCTCTTCCTTTACATCTGCGCTACCTTGCCTGCTCGTTCTGCTTGATTCAATCCTGCGCAGTTCGGTTGCCTTAATGTAATTTTGTGCACCCCTTGGTCTGGTAAATGACATTTTGGGAGATCTAAAAAGGTCAAGTTGCAGTTAATATTGGTTAGAATACTGTGAGGCTGAAAAAACTAAGCTGCTGTTCTGTTTTCATTCACAGATACCATGGACAAAGTTGAAGACTCACCCAATCTCTCTGGTAAGTTTCACCTACTACACCTGCTGCTTAAGTGACTAAACGAACATTGTATTTTCTCTTCATTCACCAAGGTTCTGTTCCCAAATAGGAAAAAAACAAAACCGGGCATATTTACCATCTGTAGTCATGCCTAAATTACTAATCAACCTTCTTGTAAAATGACACAGCTTGTCAAAAGGTCAAGATCACAAAACCATGAAAGGTGTTTTTGTGTGATCCAGCTCCCTGTCAGTGTAGAGCTTCACAAAAATAGAAGACTGAAAAATGCTGCATTGGTTGCACTGTCATAGTTATTGACATCCGGGGTGCCTCAGAAAGACACCGCAATGTGGTTGATCATCATCAGCGGCACCAACTAGTCGGACTACCCTGAATTAATGTTTAGTGTGGTATATCTGAAGTAGTGCTGCCTCTACATTATGGTTCTGAAGATGCCAGTGGATGTGTCATCACCATTGCTGATGTTGGCCAGGATTCTTTGATGTTACAGAGGCGTGTCTTGCTCAAACAGACCAGTCGGGTTCCCTAAAGCAGCGAGCACCTTCAGCTGCTCGTCCTGCACCTTTCTGTTCTCCCACAGCTCCTCAGCTTGGCTCTTGTAGGACAACAGATTGACTTGAACGGTGTCGATTTTCCGCATCATGTGACGAGGTTTTGATCAAGCATAATTTGTGTCAGTGTCATGGCTACAAGCTTCTCCCCCGTGGCTGCCACCTCGCTGAGCAGGGAGCAGGTGTTAGGTTGACAGACTGCCAGGCTGGTCCCAGTCCCCCAGGTGGTTGTAGCTCCCAGTGCACAGGCTGCCTGAAAGCAGCAACAACCAGAGGACACGCACGCTCCGTTTTCTCAGCAGAACATAAAGAGGCGTCCTCATATATAAAGCCTCTTGATTTGATCTTTACATAAGGTATTACAACAAATATATCAGGGGAACCAAAGAAAACAGTCTATCAACCATTAAGCATAACTGTCATGACTGTAAAATATAAAAAGCCGTGTCGGAGATGGATGCGCAAGAGCACTTTGTTGAATATGCTATGAGTCACGACGCGCTGAAATCTCAAATTGTAATGAACTGACTCACATGCTTACTTTATGATGCAAAACCATGTTAGCTTGAAGTGCACAGCAGATTATGGAAATCTGAAGAACATTTGTAAATAGGTTGATGAGAACAGCAGAAACAGCCTGACAACATTCATGTAAAGAAATATGTAAAGAGATGCTACAATTGACAGCATGTATGCTAAGCTGTCCAAATTATAGGCTGTTATGCTTTTTACTGCAGAATCAAAAAGCTTGGAAGAAAATCTGGTAAAGACAATCATTCTTGGTCCTATAGTTAAAACATTTCACTTGGTTACAGACCCTGGATAAAGTGGTGATGGAGATGAGTACTTGTGATGAGCCTCGCCCCCCCAATGGGCCGTCTCCCATAGCAACAGCATCCGGTCAAAAGTGAGTACTGCAGCTGTTTGTTTCCTTCTTGTTTTATCTCTAATATCATCATCTGACATATGAAACTGAAAGAGATGCACTAAATGAATGTTTTGACATTTTCCACTTTCTCATCATTGACTAATTTTAAGGGCAGTTGTTGTATTTGAATCCTTCATTGTAAATTCTTTCACTTCCTCACCTTGATTGGGTCTTCTTTTACGCTCAGTTCAGGGAATGCCTTGCCCTTTTGACACATTTTCTCGGCCTTTATTTAATATTATGTGTGTAAAAACACGTCTGAAAGAAAACTAAAAAAAGGTTGTCCGTCTCCCCGTGTCATGCAGTGAATATGGCTTTGCTGAGAAGGTGGTCGAGGGGATCTCACTGTCAATCAACTCAATCGTCATCAGGATCAGTGCCAAGGCCTTCAACGCCTCCTTTGAGCTCTCGCAGCTGCAGGTCTACAGCGTCAACACCAGCTGGAGCATCGGCGACTTGCGCTTCACCCGCATCCAAGACCCTCAAAGGGGAGAGGTCAGCCACTAGTTTTGTCATTTGAATGTTGTCACCAAAAGTTTGTTTTTTTCATTGTTCTAACACGCCTGTGTCGTCCAGATCTTGACGTTCAAGGAGATCAGCTGGCAGATGATACGAATTGAGGCTGACGCAATCCAGAGCGCCGAGCATGAAATGCTGAGCGCTCCGATTCGCCTCATCACAAACCAGTCCAAGATCCGAGTCACTCTGAAGAGACGGGTCAGCATCAAACATCAACACACACACACACAAAAACACACACATATATCCCTTAAATACAATCAGACAGTCACTGGAGGACATTTGCTGAAGCAGGCCTGAAACTGAGGACATCTGCTGTGAACAATAGTCGCTCTGTGTTGCCTTACGGGCTGCAGGGGCGACAGAAGGAATTTATCAATCGGGTAGTATGCATTCAAGCAAAAACACTTCTCTTGTCTGTTTTGGATTGTGTAGAATTAATAGATAAAGTGCACAAAGACTATTGTGTCAGTGTCATGAACCCCATTTGTTCCTTTAACAGAAATACGGAATAAAGTATTTATCACAAACGTATTCACTTCCTAAAATGCTGTCATTGAAAGTGTAGTTCTTTATTATAAAGGGGATATACTGTTTGGAATTGAACAGATTAAAAGCATGTGATGTGTGCTTCTTCACTGCCCTTTTCAGAGTCAGGAAAAAGCAGTCCTGTTACGAACACAGAGGTCACACAATAAGAGAATTCCCCTGCAAGTGTCGCGTTACATTAATTGGAGCTCTCAGGTCCACCTCCACCTGCATAATACATGTTCATACCTAACGGCTCTGTCTGACACAGATTAAGGACTGCAACGTTGTGGCCACCAAGCTGATTCTGATCCTGGATGACTTGCTCTGGGTGCTGACCGACTCCCAGCTCAAAGCCATGGTGCAGTATGCCAAGTCTCTGAGCGAGGCCATGGAAAAGTCGGCACAGCAGAGGAAAAGCATGGCCACGGAAGACCAGGTGCACACATAACTGCCTTTTTCCCCTCATATTGAGGTCAAATTGAGCATTTTCTGACCCTCTTTCACACTCCAGAAAATCTTGATTCCTCTCCACTTTGCTGTCTCCTTTTCTTTTTCCACGTTTTAAACATTTACCCCTCCCCTCTCCCAGTCCATGCCCTCATTTCACCCTTTGTTGATGCACCCACGTCACGGTCTGATTGTTTGTCCTTGCGACCAAGAAATCATGTCTGCCCCTCTCTGTGCCACTCCGCTCATGCCATATGGCGTCGATCTGCGTGCAGCCGTGCACTATCTTCATCTCTGTCTGCTGCTGCCAGTTTCTGTCAGCCTATTTTTGTTTCATCCATTTATTGCTCACAAACATTAACTTAAGTTCCCATCAAATCTAAGGTGGTCAATGTGTTTTCTGTAGTTTAGTTTGACACTCCATCTGCTGGTAGATTAGAGAATTGCATGATCCAGCTGTTTATTTATCCTGAGAGCAATTTCAGTGTTTTGCCAAGGTTCAAAATTTGAAAGGAAAAACACAAAAATAGAATCACCACATGAGGAGCAACACTTAAACAAGACTAAGCAACAACCTGACATGTTTCACAATCACAACCTTTAACATCAGCATGTAAAATGTCGCTAATCATACACCTGTGCTTTTTTTCCCCTGTGTGCACCTCTATTGATCAGGAGTCATCAGCGCCGCCCTCAGCCCAGCAGGTTCGCACCCAGCAGGCGTCCACAGCGGCCGACCAGAGTGCAACCATGGCCAACCTGTTCAGCGCTTTCGACGTATGTGAGACGTCCCACCATCTCCAGATCACACACCTCGACCTGCACATCTGTGACGACACCCACGCAAAGGACAAAGGTGGAATACACAGATTTACACATTGACATTTATCCACATGCATGTTCAGGAAATAACATATTATTTAACATGATGTTTTTTTGTCTTTCATCCCTCTGCAGTGAACAATAAGAGAATATCAAGTGGAGCCATGCAGCTTTCCTTCAGCTCCATCACTCTGGACTACTACCCTTCACACAGAGCAGGTATGAATTCTGCAGTGATTGTAACACTATCTAACCTTCCAGTTGCTTCAACATTTTAACTGCTATTCAATACTTCCAAATGCTCAGTAGAAAACCTCACCAATCCATCTGCATCTTTTATGGCTGTGGTGTCATATTAAATAGACTTAGAGCAGGCGCCAGAGTGTACTCGAATGATCTCTTCTATGCAGACTTCCAGGAATTATGGATTTTTCTTCCCATTGACAAAAAAATGGTCTTTGAGCAGCGTACTTCTCTCTCTCTTTATCCTAGAAAAAAAATGTGTTATTCTTTAATTATCAAAACGTTGCCTTATTTTCTGTCATCCCTCTTATCTCTCACACTCTCTAATCTCTACTTGTTCCAGTTAGCTTTTTTATTAAATAATTGCATTTTGTTTTTCTTTTCTTTTTACATCATATTCATATGGATTTACCAAGACAGTATACACAACTGCAGTTATTATAAGATAATTAAAAGACATTAGTTATGAAGATTCTTATGATAAATACCGGTAGTACAAAAACAAGTATGTACATAAATTAAAAGTACAATAAGAAAGCATACAGTATCTTCAGAAGCAGAGCCAGAACCTCAGATGTACCATGATGATTTTCACACATTTCAACAGTTGATGTCAGTTGTCAAATGCTGGTAAGCACCTTGTTTAACACCTACCCCATTGCAGCAGTTAAGACTTGAAAATTACTCAACAGAAATGATCAGTTTTGTCCCTGGTAAACTTTTTTGCTTTCTAAGTCATTTAGAGACATCACTACTAAGTTCACTCCTTACCATGTCTAGATTAAAACCCCCATGGAAGCTTTAGGACTCACTTCAAACAAATGATGGATGAACACCTAACTTAATACGTTTTTCTGCTTTTTCACTTCTCCAGGTGAAAGTTGTGTCCACTGGATGCACTACAGTGAGGCCACAAAGACCAGAGAGGGCTGGGCGCGGAGTCTGCTCGACGAGTTCACGTCCAACGTGAAGCTGTTAAAGAGCGCAGTGCAAGGCCCGGCTCCTGCGCACACTTCCCCACAACACAGTAAGGATACACAGACACACACAGAGACACATACTACAAATTGTGAGATGTAAATGAATTTGTTTGAGGTGTATATTCTTGTTAAATCTCCTGGTACGCACATGAAGCACATCATCCCTGTGGGTTCTCTGTCCTCCAGTGTCCCTTAGGGACGATGTGTATGGGCCTCTAGGAAGTCAGGAGAGATCAGGAGAAGGAGGAGTAGGGCTTAGAGAGGCAGAGGGAGGACTCCTAGAGTGGAGCTCACACACACAGCCTCCAGCCCAGTGCTGCTGGTGCTTAGAGCCAGGTACCACGGTGTGTGTGCGCACGGCTGTGTGCGGTGATACACACCTTTTTGCAAGTCAGAGAGGTTTCTAATCAGAGAGTTGTTGCTCTGTTTATCCCCCTCCTTTTTCCATTCTGTTTCATTTTGTTCCTCTTTTTATGTCCCTCTCTTCCTTCCTGTCTTTCTATTCAGGTAAGATAAGCACCTCCTCCAGCATCTCCTTCAGTCCCCCTCCCACTCAAAGCCCAAGACCCAGCTCATGTCCAGCTCCGTGGTCCTCAGGATGGCCGACTTCAGCATCTACCAGGTCACAACAAACACACTCTGTCTTACAAACCTTTAGACATGGACTCACTCAGATCAAAAATATTTTGACTCATAGTTTTTTTTCAACCTCTGCTTGTCTTTCTACAGGTTTCTACCGCAGACCAGCGTCGCTCCAGCCCCAAAGCCATGATCTCCTGCAATAAGAAGTCCTTGTACCTTCCCCCAGAGATGCCAGCCATTCACGTGGAGTTCACAGAGTACTACTTCCCTGATGGAAAAGACTACCCTAGTAAGACTTCTGTCACTTTTACTGAACACTGTGTAAAAGTAGCAGCACACTTTCAAAAGCATTTATCCTAATTAGTAGGTCATGAGCTGTGTTAGTGGCTGTTTTTGTACACCAGGCACACTGTTTTGGCAGCAACTTTATTGCACCTCTCCTCTCTTTCCGATCAAGTAGAGCAATCGAGTAATTCGGCTGTGGGGAACTCATTGACTGCTGTGTGGCTGAGAGGGCATTGATTTTCTGAATTACACTCAGCGCTCTGGATGAAGAATCACCCAATTAATTCATGTTATCAGTTTCTCACCATCAGGAGCCATTTTTCAAATTGTTACAAATCTTTTTCTGTCTTTGTCAAGCAAGGGAAATAAAACAATTGTTTCTTTCTCTCTTTGTGACTTTCCTTATTCTTTCCCTTTGTAAGTACTATACGTCCAAACAATGTGTAACCACATATTTCTTCCCGTCTTCCCCACGCTTCTCCAGTTCCATGTCCTAACCTGTATGCCCAGCTGAACGCCCTGCAGCTGGTCCTGGATCCTCGCAGCCTGGTGTGGATCAACCTTTTTGCTCTTGACCTCAGGCAGAGTCTGGAGCAGTTCATGGAGATCTACAAGCTCAGCGACTCTCAGAAACCAGACGAGCATGTAGACATCAAGATTGACGGACTCATGCTGAAGGTAAAGATGGTGAAATGTTGACAAATACGTTTTTTTTTTTTCAGGATAAATATTTTAAATTCTTTGGTATTTATGCTAATTGTTGGCCCCTTCTGTTTAGCTGGTTATTCCCACCGATTCAGATGCGTCCTGTCCGGCTGATCTGCCTCGCTCCATCTCAGTGCAGACCTCAGAAATGGTCGCCACGAACACCCGGCAACCGGCTAACTGCACCCGCTCCCACCTTGAAGCCCTGCTGCAGGCCTTCGAGGAGGAACCATTCTTCTCCCCTTCGTATTCTTCATTCCCTCGCACTTCCTCTTCCTTACCCCTGCTGCATCCTGTCTTCCAGCGCCACGCGCACGAACAAGACACGAAGCTCCACGACATCTACCGCGGCCTGGTGGTGCCGACGATGGGCACAGACGCCCTCAAGATGCCGGCCGTTAGTGACTTTTGGGCGCTGCACTTTGCCCAGTTCTGGGTGGACTATGAAGGCACCCGTGGAGGAAAAGGGAGGCCGCAGCCCTTCGTGGACTCGTTCCCTCTGACCGTGTGGGCGTGTCAGCCCGCAAAGATTGTTCAGCACCAGGAGAGGCTCAGAGCTGCAGCTGGATCAAGTATGTCCAGGAGCACATCTGGAGAGGCTGTTTCACGGCTGCAGAGGAAACGGTTGCTAAAGGAGTATTACAGCACTGATGGCACACTAACGTCAACTCACAGCAGCGAGGCAACACAGCCTCCCAGTAACGGACTCCATAAACCACACTCATTGGACAGTCTGCCCTCCTCCTCTTCTTCTTTATCATCCGGTAAAGACGCAGGTGTGCACGCTTTAGTGCACGTGCAGAAGCATTTAAGTGCTCAGGTATGTTAATCTGGTCGATTACCGCAAGTCATTTAAAACTAGACTGAAAATGTAAAGCGCTGCTACATCACCAAGGCTCTGCTTTGAGCTGACGTTTGCAAACACGTGTTCTTAGGATAAGTCGCTTTTTTTTTAGCTTCTGAGGTAACAACAACATAGCAGGATGCCAGGATGTAAACCTAGCACAAATGTCTTAAAATGACTATGAACCACAAGGCTAACTGGGATGGAAGCAAACTCACAATGTTGGGTTCTTAGAGGGCTCAGTGGACGATGTTTGTTTATGGATGCTGACGTCGTCTTAGGGTTTAGTGCTCATTACCATGCCAATAGAAAACTAAAAACAAGAATGCTGTAAGTTGCAATTCTTGACAAGAAACTACAGCAACACAACATGTTATTTGCATCATGAGTAGCAATACTTTGTGATAAATAAGGAATATAAATAGTTAAAACAGATGGATAACTATGTTTATTAACTACCATATTGTGTCTGTGTGTCCAGGTGAGCCACCGGCAGTACGTGTTTCTTATGCAACTTCAGCGCAGCATCAAAGCCCTGCAGCAGACCCTACAGCAGGACCTGGAGGAGATGAGCTCCAAGAAAGATCGCAAGGATCCCTCTCAGCCTCCTGCAGACCACCAGCCCTTCAACGTCTGCCTCGGCCTTCTGCTGAAAAGCGCAGAGGTGTCCCTGCTCCTGAAGCCTGTCTCTCAACCTGAGGGTTCAAGGTCTCCTCTGGGGTCAGAGCTCTCCCCATCAGAGAGCCGAGGCACTCTGGAGCCTGGGAGCGACGCTGGAGAAGGGGCTGAAAAGGGGAGTGAAGGAGCTGGATCAGGGTCTGAGGGAGCAGCAGCCAAAGGTGCATGCAACACTGTAGACCAGCTGCTATGTGGTGACGGCTCGGACGGTCCCGCTCCACTCGTCCCCACATCCACAACAGCTTCACGTCCTGACTTGAATCACAAAGCCTCACTGGAGGAGAGGACTACAGCTAAGAACTCACGGAGGTGGAGTTCAGAGGAAGGGGGCGAGGCGGCTGTTGATGGGTTGGCTGGGGGTGAAGAAGTGGGAGCTGGATTAGATTCTAAATCGCAGACCGCGACTCTCTGTTGGACCAGAGCAGCAAAGACTGGAGCGACAAAGACGCGACCGGAGCCAACAAGATGCCTCAGTCAACATCCAGGTATTCTGATCAACGCACAAAAAGGCTGGTCGAATTTACTACAGTTTCATTACTACTTAAAGGCAACACGACTCGACTGAATTGAAACCTCACCACAGCAAGTCAGTGTTGTACGAAATATTTCCAACAGTTTTCAAAGCCAGGGAAATCCATCATTTTATAGTTGTAACGGGTCATGGCGGCTATGACAGAGCTGCATTTCATAGCCTGTCAGATCTATGCATCATGTCAAAAACAAAGGCTGTTTTGTAGCTCAGTCCGCCAGGCACCTATCCCACTGCAACGATTCTATGCATTTAAAAGAGCCAAATGGTCATTAGTAATCTTGTCGCTGATGGTCTTGTTTGCTTTTGTCAGCCACAGAGCTCAGGCAACAGTAATCATTTCTGTCTGTTTAATAACCGGCTAAAAACTCCTCATCGACAACTGGGTTAGAAGTTGTAGCCTGTAAAAGGTCACTTATGAAGTTTTATCCTGCTGTGCTTCTGGTTGATGACTCTAATGAAAGAGTCTTTTTCTTTCTAATTGAATCTGTCTCCTTCTGAACACAAGAGCTGTGTGTCAAACCCCCTCATGAGTGTTTGTCAGTCTAAATGTTCCGTCTCCTGAATCAACATGTGGATGTTTCTGACATTTTGAATGTTCTTTGGTCTTGAGCTTTAACATCTTTGTCTTTGTCCTCATCTACTGTCTGTCAGCACTTTGTTTTCTCATCTTTTCTCAACTCGTTCACGTCTCTAACTGCCTCCTGACCTCTGCTCTGACCCGTGTGAGGTGTGTGTGTGTGTGTGTGTGTGTGTGTTTGTGTGTGTGTTTTCTCTCTACCAAGGAAAGGAAGTTTGTCTGTGGTTTCTGACCTCCTCAGCTCCTCAAACTCCAGCAGATCCACCTCCCTTTATTCCATGTCAAACATGTAAGGCACTGGATCTGTGTCTTGCTGTATTAACAAGTGTGTGCGTGACTGACTGGGTCTTTTATTCTCAGTGAACACGTGTGTATGAGAGTCCCCTGTGGGCATGTTTCTGCATGTGCGCATGACTATCTGGCCTGTCTGTTTGTGTTTAATGATTCCTGTGTTTGGCGTCCACTTGCTGACTGGTGGTTGATCGTACAGGTGAAAAGCTTCTTTTTTTTGTGACAGTTCTTTTTTTTTTTTTCCCTCGAGCCTTGTGTTCTCTGTCTTCTGTGGGAGTCAGTTTGATCTTGTCTGTTGTGATTTTTCGTTAGATCGTTTCTGGCACTTGGGAGGATAGCACGCTTGGATCTTACATGACCTTAAACAACATCACACAAAGGAACAAAGCCATATTTAATTCATGACTTTGAGAGTAAGCGCTGTCAGCTCTCTCAGAGCTCAGTGGTTTTGGCATAGTACTCCTATTTATCAGATGAAAGAAAATAAAAACTCTAGACCTGTTTTTTAAACTCTCTTGCAATTCAATTATGTCAAAAATCATCAAACGGCATGCAACGTGTTGATCAAACTATACCAAAAAAAACACAAACGATATCGTCTTCACATTACTACATGTATTATGTGTGTGTGTGTGTGTGTTTTGTAGTGGTCGCTTGATGCGGGACCGTTCCCAGTCCAGCTTCTCTGTGTCCTACAAGAACATGAAGAAGAGCCCGTCCCTGCAGTCCCTGGATAACATCTCCATAGACAGCTACCTCATGGAGGACGGAGACACGTACAGTCTGCTGGAGAGAGGTGCAGCCATCTTTAATGCATGTTTTACACAAATGAAGAGGAATACACCTAGCTGTTTATTAGGACTGTGTGTTGGCAGTAATAAGGCGACACGAGACATATCATGAAATAATGAAAGGCCAATCATCGACTGTGGTACCGTAAACATTAGGGGTGGAAATTTGCAGAGTAATTACAGCAGGGATGGGCAACTTTGGTCACAGCAAGGGCCACATTAATTTAATTCTCACTGCCAGAGGGCCAAATTGTAGGATACAAAAAACGATTACAGTCAGTTTTGTCTCCAATTTAACTCAACACATGCCAGTGATCTGGTTTTCATGATTTCATGGCAGATTTAGTCATGTTTTCTTCATGTTCCCAATTAATTGATGTGTAAAAATTGACCTGAGGGCCACGTTTGAGGGTTGATGGGGGCCGCCAGTTGCCCACCCCTGCATTACAGGATATATGGCCCACGATAACGATAAGACCACATGGATTCAAAATTACTGGTGCAGAATGAAAACATGTATATATTTAGTTATTTATTTATAGAATAACATTAAAGAAAGAGTTGTAAACAAAATTTGTCTCAATAAGATGTATTTGAAGATGAATTACATTTTCATAAATCCTGCTGAACCCAACTCTCAAGTTGACTGAAGTCACAAAATGAAAACAAAAAGGCTTTTCTATTTAATGAAACCATTGAAATCTTTGAGTTTCTATCACAAATGATACTGTCACTGTTCTGAAGCTTATTCTGACCTCTCGTCTCCTTAAGTAGGGGTTGATATAAAAGATAATTCAGCTTGAGGCATTCATATTCATTGACAGTATCATAACGTCACATGTAGTGGTAGGTAACTGTATCGACCAGGAGGTGGCAGCATTGTTGTGATATGTTAGGGATGTGTAGTGTTGCAGAAGAAGCTTCTTTCACCTGCTCTTATGATGCTTTGAAGTGCAGACTCAGTCATATTAACCCATCAACGTTTTTGTATATCTGTATGTATGATACAGATGACGTGTCCATCTCAGGCTTCAAGGACGCCATCATTGAGCAAAGTAACACTGAGAGTGCCACCGAGGCTGTGATTGGTCGCGAGCAGGAGGGGGGCGTGTCCCCCGACACTGTCAGCGCCACGTCCCAGAGCACTGACGATCCCACCAAAGATGTAGTAAGACTGCGAAACTAAGAGAATGATGGAAAAGTTTGGAAATCAAATAGTTATTTGTATTGATTGATGATTTAAAGGATGTATAGACTTTCTTCCACTTTAGCTGTCCAAGTCGCCTAGCTGGAAGAGCTGCTGTTTGTAATTTCCCTGGTATTTTCTTCCAGGTGTCCGTGCTGATGCTGAAGGTACGGTCGGTGTGTGTGGCCATGGAGGCGGAGGGCGAGAGCACGGCCGTGGCTCTGGAGGTGGGACAGGTCACACCGAGCCAGCTGGGCAACGTCAGCCTCAGGCAGTACCTTAGCAACCGCAGCCTGGGTGAGAACCAGCATGACAACATATTTTATGACATGTTATTATATCTGTTGTATGATTTCTAGATGGAAAACCCATTTCCATGTGTATTTTTTGTGCATCGTGTTGAACAACATTCACTTACACACTCATCTAAAACTTCAACTACAGTTAACTAACAAGTTGAAATGTAAGGTTCATGGAAAGGAAAAGTTCAGCAAGTTCATCCTCTTACTGTGAAACAACAGAAGGAAGAGAAACAAACATTTGACAATAAGTTAAAATGATGACAAAATAGAAAAAACTGCCTTTTACAACAATGCAAAAATAATTAAAGGGCATCTCTAAACATTTAGCAAACCTTCAATTGGCAAAATGTGAGTTGGATGATTACATAAAATAAAATTGACCTAAATAGACGTCTGTAGGCTGCAGCCTTTTTCTTTGGTTCATGTTTGAGGATGAAAGTGAAGAGGCATTTGTTATGATTTCGAGCCTACATGTAAGGCAGCAAGGAAGAACTGCTGAGGAAAGACTGCAACGTGTGTGTGTGTGTGTGTGTGGATTTAAACGACATCCTGCTTCAAGAGCACACTCTTGTACTTTTGAAAATTATTTTTGGACGATCTTTTGTCGTATATAGCCTTATTTGAGAGTAGAGCGAGAGAGCGTCTAGAGAGATAGGAAGGACATGTGATAAAGGTCTCTGAACAGACATGGACCATCAGGATGTTTCATAATCCGCCCCGGCTGGGTCAAATTTGAGCACAAGACTGACAGATGGAGGGACGGGCAGGAACATGAGGATACTCCAACATCAATAGCAGCAGGAAGCTGGTAGACTGACACAGTTTTGTGCCACTCACTTTTTGTTTAATGAGCCTTGATTCGAGCGCCTGTCAAAATGAAGCGCTCATTCTGGAATCGCTGTTTCCAAAAACTCACATTTACACACTAACACACACCACCCCCCTCCCTCCTTTTTATTTACCCTGCGTAACTCCCCCCCCACAGGTATGGTGTGTTCAGTACCAATACCTGCTCAAAGCAGCCAAGGTAACTGCTGTGTGTTCATTCACCATCTGTGACCTAACATGCATGCCTGCCTCAGAGTGTCTCTTTACACCTGTGTGCGTGTGCGCGCGCGCGTGTGTGTGTGTGTGTGTGTGTACACAGACTGCCAATGTGTGTTTTCTTCTAGTTTGTCTCCTGTGAACTCTCGTTTCCTGGACGTCTTTTGCTCAAAAGCATGCTCTGATGATGCTAGCAGATATCCAGCAAGTGATGGCATGATTTGTGTGTGTGTGTGTGTTTGACTGCTTATTTCTCAGCAGGAGAGGGAGTGTCTCTTTCACCAGTGTGAGTGTGTGTGTGTGTGAGAGGTTAAATTTGACAGTAATGGAGTGAGTGCTCCCATTATTTGCAACATTAGGCCCACAACTTTAACTGTGCGTGTGTGAGCCAGATTCAAATTAACTGCAGCTATTTGTGCAGGCTGGTGTTAACCCCTGATCTCCTCTTCTTCTGCCCTGCCTAATTCACCCCCCCCCCCCCCATCTCTCTCTCTCCCCCTCCTCTCTCGCCCCTCATCTCTCCACTGCAGCAGACTTTGCAGTTTCACTCCAGTGATTCAGGCAATGAGAGCAACGCCAGCTTCACCCCTCGCTACCTCTCCTCCTATCTCAAAAGAGCAATCCCCCTCCTCCTCTCTTTTTTTCCTTCCTCCACCTTTCCTCCTCACTCTTCCCTCCAGCTCCTACTCCGTCTTCCTACTAATCCTCTGTCATTCAACCCTCCTCCTCCTCCTCCTCCTCCACCTCCTCTTCTCTTCATCTCCCTCCCTCTCTAGGCCATCTTTTCTCTTCCCTTCCTGTCTTATCACAGACGCTCAGTCCTTTGCTGCCTCCCCCGTCCTCCCCTTCTCTCTCTCTCTCTCCTCATTCACTCCCGTCTTTGCCTCCGCCCCAGCCATCCAGGAATGACAGAGAATATGTCGTTGTAACTCAGGAAGCTGTCAGATGTGAATTTTGTGTGTGTGTGTGTGTGTGTGTGTGTGTGCAGGGATGTTTTTGCTGGTCCTGTAATTGCTCTGTGGCATTAACCCTCTCTTGACTCTTTTTTCATATCTAAAGAAATGTGTCACACTTAGTTTGTTTGTCTTCCAGTGGTTATTTTCATCCCTTGCTGTTGCAACTCACAATGTTATTCCTAGTTTACTTACCAGATAAATGTTTTGAAAGTATGTGTGGCTTCTTAACTTCCTCTTTAACTAGTTTGTTTGTATGGTCCCTTTTTCACCTCCTCTATCGTTTCCCCCCCCCCCCCTGACAGAAATAAAATCATGTTCTCACATTTTGTGATATCGAGAGTCAAACTGAGGTCGTCGAGGAATGAAAAACTTTATTCTAGGACATTTTAAAATCTTTCGTTTTCAGTTCCTCCCAGCTTCTTTTTCTTGTCTCGTTCTAAAAAGGACGGGAGGAAGAGAAAAAAGAAAATCAATGGTTAAAATTTCTCTTTGAATTCTCGATACTTAGGTGGGAGTTTCCTCTGCACCCTCTAATCCCCAGTCCTTGAAATAATTAAACATCACTGCAGTGAAGAGCCCGTGGGATCGTACAAATTCTCAACTCTCCTTCAGCCTACCTCAGTGCTAATTTCCTTCCTGCTTCTCTTTTCTTTTCCAGCTTTTGTTTCTAACGATTTCTCTCCAGCCGTCTTCTCTTTCTAATATTGAGCCAATTTCAAACCTGGCCTTAACATGCACCCTTTTTTTCCAAATAGTGTGCAAAATGACAATCCAGCCATTGTAATGAATCTATGTAGGGAACTAAAATCATCAGTAGACAATCCTTCACATTTGGATCTCTCAGCCACCTCAAGTGTGCTCGGCTAAACAAATATGATACAATACGAAGCTGAGGAGGATTGTCGGCCTCCACCCACTCCTCCCCTGCTGTGGGATCATGATGGTCACTGTGGGATCAGGTGGAGGAGGATGAGGTGGATTAAATCAATTAGATGGGCAGGTTAGTTAATCACCCCTCACATTAGAGATGAATCATTTATATGAACACTCCCTGAGGTGCAGATAATTCATCAACAAACTTGGATTTAGAAATTTAGATTTAAACCTAATAACAACAAAACACAGATTTTACAGTTATTAGGACATTTTACAGTTCAAGGACTAACTAGTCGTTGCTTTCTGGTACACATACTGGCTGATTAATTAGTCGACATCTTATAGGGAGAAGTAACTAAAGAGCTTAAACACTGATTTCAATATATTTCTCTTCATTGTCTGAAGAAGCACACTAGGTATCCAAAAAGGTTCATGTGATTGGACTTGTAAACAGTAACGTCAGCTGCACTTCACATTGGGTGTATTTCAATGTCAGGGGTAAATCGTTTCAAAGTGCACCCCCACAGATATGACACCGAGGCTAATGCTATCCTTCGCTCTCACAGCCGGAGGTGAGCTCAGCTCCGCGTCCGCCCGAGGCCTCCACAGTCCGGAGGTCCGGGCCCGCCTGGAGAGCGGGCCATGCGCCGCCGCTCACTCACCACTGGCCGTGCGCAACGGCTTCCTGCAGCTGCGTCTCCACGGGTACCAGGCGAGCTTCTTGATGTCCACGATGCGTAACCTCGCCAACTTCCTGGAGGACGACTCTGCGCCGCTGGTGCTGCCCATGGAGATCAGCATCAGGGACACACACATCCACTTAAAGGTGACCATCCTGGGTGTTTGGGGCATCATTTCTATCTTCTTATATTCATGATTTATGTTTTTACCCCCGAGGTTATTGTAGCAGAACTGTTTACCTGCAAGATTCCAGCAGGATCGTTTTCCTAGTTTTTCAATTGTGTTGCAGTAATAGACCCCATATGTCAAAGCCAAACAGTGTAGCAGCTTCCACAAACAAGTTAAATATTTTGAACCATGGCCTAATTGGAATTTGGATTATACTGAATATTTAATGACATAGAAAGGCCTTTCTGCCTTCTCTTGTGGGTTCCTTTACATGCGAGTAGATTTGCTGTGGCAGCCTGGATGTGGATCATTTCTCTATCGCAAACACACTAAAAATCTGTTATCTCTGCTGCAGGACGACGGCCCCCGGGACAACCTTTCTGACTCTGAGCACTCTCCGATCACGATGCACGTGGACAGCCTCATCATTCACAGGAGGGACGATGGCTCCTTCTCCATAGGAGGTTAGAAACACACACTCTTTCATCTGCCACACATCTCCGCCTCCCCTTCAGTTGCTGATTCACTGCGGTTATATAACATGTTCTACTAAATGCTTTTTACACCCAAGCTCTCTTCGTCCACACCTCCAAACAAACCTCTTCTGTCTTTGTTTTTCTCCTCGCAGTGGACACGACGGCGGAGGCCAAACCCCGGAAAGATGGCTCGTTGATTGACAGCACTCTGAGTCCGGTTCCCGAGGTGGTGGGCAGCGTCTGCGCTGTACCAAAGGCTACACAGACACAAGCCCCGCCCACCATCCCACCTCCACCCAGCAGAGAAAATGTAAGACACGCTGAAAGTATCCTGTGTGGGTTTATTGGAGTATAAAAACAAAACAACACCCACAGCAACTGAAAACAATCTTTAAGGCTAAGAATCACGGGTTCTTCCTGCACATTTTTCTCTTTCTTCTTCTGGTCTTTTCCTCCTACAAACATTAACTGCTGAACAAGGAAGACGTTCTCATTCTTCCAGATCTTTTTGCATGTGATGCCAAAATGTGGTTTTCAAGCTATTCCAGCTCCATGTTTGGCTTCCATTTCCTTCAAGTGGGAGTAATATTTATAATTTTATGCAGAATACAAGAATAGTGCATTGAATAGTTACATAATGCTGTTTTACAACCCACCAGTCCTGCCATCAAAACAACCAAACACGTGTGTTGTCATTTCATTTAAATATGACTTTGTTAGCGTTTAAAGACACCGATGATGACTTGTAAGAAGAAGGTTGGAATACAATGCCAGCTGTTTTATTTCTAACTATTTCCCCAGACGTTCTCACTCCTGTGGTTTTACACAATGCTCCTATTTTTCTATTACTTATGAGAGCTAGAAAATCAACCGCAAAAGCTAACATATTGACCAACAAGTGTCTGAAAAAAAATCACCAGGACAAGAAAAGTCCAGCGATTTGGCTCCTTTTTTTAGAGTTTGCAGATTGCAAATATTGAGAAAAAGAACAAGCCGTTACTGAGATGGTTGCTAAAATCTGGACGACTGACTGCAATCGATCTGCAGAAAGAAGCCAGGTCTGTTGACGTTGGTGTGTTCAGTGTGGTAAAAAGAGGAAGGAGAGAAGACAGAGGACTGTACAGAACTGAAGATGAACATGAAGTAAACACATAACGAAGGTGCTATGTATGGTGGTGTTTAAAGACTGGTGAAGCAGCAGACTCCGACATGATGAGGTGCAGATGCTTCATCTCCATGACCGTTAAGCAGGTTCACCATAACAAACTGTGCTCATTAAACTTGATTAAAATCTTTTTATGTACGTTTTTTAAGTTGCTACAACAAGCAGACACCATGCTTCACCTTTTTCTTCTGGTTTATAGATGCTGATGGAGGAAAACGAATGTCTTAAATTGGAGCTGTCGCGAGCCAAGATGGCGCTGGCTGAAGCTCAGATGGAGAAGGACTCGCTGCTGCACCGCATGAAGAATCTTAAAGTCAACACCAGCTAGACCAGGATCACTCTCAATCTATTTGTTCAAGCGAGCCAGTCAGCCAGTCTTACTTAGCGCCTCACAGGTCTGAGGCGTGAGGGCGAGCAACAAGTTGAGAATAAAAAGGGGGATTTTTTTGTTGTTGTTGTTGTTTTAAGCAGCTCCCTTTGCGCACTTATTTGTTGAGTGAGCCACTATGGCTGCGTTCACACTGCAGGTCAAAGAAACCTGAATCTATGTCGTCTATGTGACTTGGATCTGATGTTTTGATGACAGTTTGAACAGTCCACATACAATCTGATATTATTGCCACCTTCATATTTTGATCTAAAGCAGTCACAGGTCAGTTCTTTTGCAGTCAGACCTTAGTCTCAACAGACGAGTCATCTGCACGGAAAAATGCAGGAAGAACTGCCAGAAAAAAAAAAAAAAAACTGTGTGAATGCGCAAATTGAGGCTTATACTATCACAATGGATATTAATATGATTTGTCCCATTACTTACATTAAATTAATTATTTTCTCATATGTGGAGTGTCTGACATTTAGAAGTCCTAATATTTCAGCTGCAGCCCTACAGGAATACCAAGCGGTTTGGGGCTCATAAAAATGAATATAAAAAATGTAAAAGCAGGAAATATGTTTTTTTTTTTTTTTAAATCTTAAATTAGAATGCTTCAGCGCTTTGTTGTCGGTTGTAGGATGATAATACATCTACCTGTCACAATCATACAGGCTTTTTTATATGAAAAATCATACAGTAGAGACGTGTATCGGTCTCTCTCACGATCAGATCACAGACCTCTGTGACCAAGAGGTCTGATTGGTCAGTACAATTTCTTATCTCAAACATTATACCAAACAACCTGCTCTGGAGCAGATGAGATGATAACTGAGGGTGTTCAGTTATGAGTCCCGGTAAGACGTGAACCACCTTCATACTGAAAAAAACAGAAGTTACATTGAATTTGGCTTGATGAATATAAAAGATTGGATTTTTTTGTTCTTCTGCGGGAGGTTGTAGATGGTCAGTTCTACTCATTATGTAATAATCCCTATTCACACCGTGCTGCGACTAGACGACTTGGTTGTTGTTCTTTTGCACATGCAGGTCAGTTCAGGACTGTGACCAGTTCACACTGGAGTCTGTTTCAGGCCACATTTAAGAAGCAATATAAAAAATCTGATTTGAGCATTAAGGCTTGCAGTGTGAACGCAGCATGAGACTTCAAAATAATTCTTTCATTAAGCAATGCAGATTCTGTGAGAAGACTAAGACACGTGTTTTTACAAGCTCGTTTGTTTTACATGCTCCACTTTGGACTGTGAAGGCTCGACACATTTGGAGCAGGTTGAAAAAAAAAAAAAAAAAAAGGTGACGTTTAGCAAGCCTATGTGTGTGTGTTCATGTTTGAGTGTGAGGAAGAACAAGGATCTGTATCCATGGCTGTGCCTACAGAAAACCCCTCATACACTATTCTTGTTGTGTAAAGAAAACTCACAGATCTTTGATGTACGTTCAATCATATGTAGATATGAAGAAAAAAATGAATGTCATATCTTCAGATGAATGTAAAAAAAAAAAAAAAACAGACTTCTTTTGCACTGCACTGAAATGAGTTGTCATTTTAGTGCTTTCATATTCAGAGAGGACAAGACAAATCCTGCTCTCGCTCGCCCTCGGAGTGTGTACAGTGTATATTGTATAAGAATGTGAACACATGACTATTTTCTTCAGAGACTCTAAACAGTTATGCAGTGTTTCAGTTGAATGTTTGTGTTTGACGCAGCAAGAACAAGCATTTCTTTACAATTATAGGAAAAAAAAAACATTTATGTCAGTGTCACAGCTTTGTCAGCAAAATGCCCCACAATAAAGTCTGTATCCCTCCGCCTATTTTTCTATGTGTAAATAGATACTTAACATGTGCAGCACTTTTAAAACTGAGGCACTGTAAATACAACCAGAACTGTGAGAGGAAAAAAACAAGACTGTGCGGAGGAGGAAAATAAAGGCAAAATGAAGCTGCCTGATTACATAAATGAGTGTGTGTTTATGTAAATTTCTAATCTGCCATGTGTAATTGTTTTCATCGACTTTTGTTGAACATATCTGCTGCTTTTCCATCCTTAACACCGGGGTGACAACTTCCGGGGACAAGATGTTTAAATGACAAAAAAAAACAACTGACTTTTCATTCAGCACATGCTTTCCAACAGCACAAATGACTCAAAAGGTATGCAACAGGGACATGAGCTCGGCCCACTTCATTTCACATCCTGTCTCCAAAAATGTAAGTTTTCTAGTTCCTGTCAAAGACATGAAACACAAGAAGTCCCCAGTTCCAAGACTTGAAATGTCAGAGGAAGGAATTTTAACAAAATTATGTGTGAAGAAGTTTTAGTCGACCGACATGATTTTTTTCCCTCAAACTTTTTTCATCCATCATCACAGCCCTCCTGCTCTCATGGCGGAAGAAAAAGACACAAAAAGTAATGAGTTGTATTTTGTCTTTCAAACTGCTGAAATACAGATGAAAATAAAAAAGGGTATCCAATTCATAAGGTTTCATCTTTGAACATTTTTATGGAATTTCTTGCAAACCTATTTTTCCCTCATTGCTATTAAAATATTTGTATTTGCTTAGCAACATAAAAAAAAGGTTTCAAATGTATTTAAACCAACTAAGACCTAGTAAACCCTAGTTTATTTGGGACTTGGTGGTTTGAATCCAAAATTAGACATTTGACTATATTTGAATACATTTCTTTGGGCTTGGAGAAATAAAAAGAGCCATTTATCTCTCTTTATTATGACATCTGATGAAAAAGAAGACGACTTTCCTATCCAGTTTTGAATGTAAATCAATAATGCCACGTTGAGACCATTTTATTTAAGCAGATCAATTAAACGACAGCTTAAATTTCATCTAAAAACTTTGGATTATTAAGGTACATTGAGAATAAAGGGTTTTTCTTAACAAACATGTCTGTACTTGACAGTAAGTTATCCAAAGAAACACACCGCTATCTCTCTTTTTCTTCTTTTTAAGATCAAGTTGCTCATCAGTTAGATGCAGTCATTCAATTTGCTACAAGTGGAGATAAGAAAGTGTTTAAAATATGAGTGCTGCCTCTAAGAAGCGGCTCTGAGCCTCTACAGAAGAGCGTTTGGACTTTGTGCACATAAATGGTCATAACGTTTTAAGGCTGGAGCAGTGCAGTGAGTCATAGAAGGGCATTAAGTGTTCAGCTTTGTGTTTGTGTGTGAGGGAGAAGCTGTGTGCTGTGGACATGGAATCCTGTTTACATACTTTAGCTTAATGTATCTGTGATGATGGTTAAGTCACAGTGCAGGTCTGTTTATGTAAGAAAAAGCATGTACATATTCATTTATATATACTGTGTGTGTGTGGAGGAGTGCAGGGGACATGCACAGCTGGATTGTGGGAAATATGAGGACAGAGGGAGGCATCAGGTTTTGTTTTGGCTCAGCGGAGAGTCCAGAATCTGCATCCAGCACCCAGCAGGGCTCAAACTGCCGGTTTTATGTCCCTGCTGGAGCTGCACTGCAAATGTAGAGCTCTTGTAATACTGTTGTTATAAAAATTAATGATGGCTGAATCCCATTTAGCTGCTTCAGAATCCTGATATAGGCCTCTATACAGCAGACATTTTTGACTTTGGCTAGGGAAAGCACAGGTGTTGCTCATAGCATTAAATAAAGCTCTGTTCTGTTTATGTGTCCTAAAATAAGCCATGACAGAAGCAGGATTTCCAAAATGTAGCGCAACAAAAGTGTGTTTTCGTCCTCTACTGTTATGTGAATTATCAAAAAGCAGAAGGCAGAGTTAGTTCTCATGTTGGATTCTATTATATATCATTGTAAAAGGAGAGGATGTGACAAGATGATGTAGCTAAATGAAGGTCTGACAAACAAGTTGGAGGAAAATATAGAAAACATAATGGACATTTTTAAGCATTTCTTTGACAGATGTTTTTGTAAATTACATTTTTACTTTTCACCGATTTGTGGTCAGAAATAGCTGGAAAAATAAACATTTTAGAGGCTCCGGAAAATAGAAACTTTCTCAAAACTCTCCTACATTTAGCGGACTACTTAATATATTGATTACATGATATAATCAGTAGGTAAATCCATAATGAAAATATTTTTTCCCATTTGCCCCAAAAATCACTGGAATCTTCAACGAGCTCAGGAGTCAGAGATAGCAGCTTTAGGTGGAACTAGTGAAGGCAGCACAAATTCCAATTAACCAGCAGTGCAGCCATCAGGCAGGTCCCAGCATGCAGCAGGGGTAGGGTGCAGGGAGAGGAGGGGGGGGGGTGTTGTCTGCTTCCCAGGCTGTCAGAGTGAATATGAAACCATTTTACAAAATCATTTACTTCCTTCATTTCACATACTGTACATACAGACCATACTCTGACAAAACAGGGAGGCTATTGTAGTTTCTCCCCAAATTCATTCAGCTGCAAAAGGGTGAATGGACTCTGAATGATCTGCGCATGTGTGGGCTCGATTGTACAAGTTAACGGTGGGAATTTGACGACAACGAGCGCAGGTGATGGATTCGAGGTACACTTTTTTTTTTTTAAAGAAACAAACAAAGGCATCGACTCCTGTTGATGTAGTAGCATCGTCATCCACGCCCAGACCGTACAGTAAGTCTGTAAATAAAGCCAGATAGAATAACAGCGGAACATTGGCGACTTCCCTTTCAAAGTAAAATTTTGGATCGTCTAAAATATATCTAATACTTCAACACATGTTAGTTATGTTAATTTTTTGTTGTTAATTTTTCGAATTGGGACCCGACCCGATTGAAATTGGCTTTTTATTTTTTTATATAGATTTCTTTTTTTTTTCCATTTGTTTATTCATTTTCATCTATTTTTAATCGTTCGAAATAAAGAATTAAAATAAAATAAATAAAAATAAAGTGGGACCCGACCTGAGAAGATAAATAATTATGTGTTTTAATACAGTAAGACGTTTTGTCCTGTCCTTACATATTGTATATTTAAAGAATATTTAATGAATTCATGATTTAATCTGTTTGTCCCCTTTAAGAAACCTGGGGCAAAGTTTAATTAAATAAAAATTAATTTTGACCAGTTTCCCCACGGCAGGGAATTTTGTGCTCCTGTTTTTGAAATTGTTAAGAAGACATGTAGAACAATTTTTGAACAAATTGTACATGTTGAAATTCACTTTGTAATCAAACTCATTATCTACAAACTCATTTATCGACATCTACACAGGCTTCGTAGTAGCCTATGTTTTTAAACAACTCATAAGTAGTGTGCTTACTTTTTGCACCCAACTGCAGAAATAAAGCATCGAAGAAGTTGTAAATTTACATCTTAATTATCTAATGCAAACTGCATAACTCAGAAGGACAAACACAGAGAACGGGACGTGACATTTTAAAAATGAATAAATGATTTAGAGGATTCAAAGTTGGTGAATGTCCCTCTTAAATATTTTCTTTATTTTATTTTTAGTGGTGGTCCGTCGAATGAATGTTATATTTTGAAAGCTGTGACCGGAAGTGTGTAGTGTTGTCACAGCTGAGCTTACATGTGTGTTTCAGGCTGCACTGATAGTCCCCGGCCAGTCAGTGCGGTAGGTTCACCGTAGAGAGGTGGAGAGTACAGCGGGGCAGGAGAGCGTCTTGTGGAGGTTGCACAGGGTTTCAACTCCCGCCTGTTTAACGACAGGAGCTTCAGTCTAGTTGGGAGTTTCTGTTTTGCCTGAGAAAAACTTAGTTTTTTTTTACTTAATTTAACACAGTGTGACTATTTACTTCTCAGTTCCGTCCACAGATACGCTCTGGAGCCTTTTGGTTCCCCCTGCTGCGCTTGTTTGCGCTGAGGTTACGCCGGGGAGCAGTGCACGTCAGCGGACTCACTCGGGAGGAGATTACGGAGCCGAGCGTGTGAATGGACCGAGGTTATAAATCACAAAGGGACCAGTGCACGTCAAACCTGCCCTGACTGCAGCATCAATAACACCTATTACCCCCCCGTCCAGCAGCAGCATGCAGTGAGAGCAGCCCTTTCAGATGCTTTCCCACTCCACACAGTGAGGAAAAAAGGGGGTGGGGGTGGGGGGTGGTGGTCGGAGGGGAGGAGGAGGATTTATGGGAGATTTGTTGGATTTTCATCGTCCCGTCGCTGCAAACTTGTGTCCGGCATGGGGAAGGAACAGGAGCTGCTGGAAGCTGCCCGGACCGGGAACGTGGCCGTGGTGGAGAAATTGTTAAGTGGAAAGAAGGGGATCCTGGGGTCAGGTTCCGGCTCCATCCCTCTGCCCAACCTCCTGAGGTAAGAAACCACTCTCATCTCCTTCCCACGACCGCTGCAGTGCACGGGGAGCCCCTGTGGGAGCTCCTGTGGGGTTTCCCGTGCTGCAAAATTAGGCATAATTTGGCTTCATCATAGGTCAGTGCACTAGAAGTGAGCCAAGTGAAGGGAACACTGTACTCCAGCCTCATTGTCACTCCCCCAAGCTGAAGTTTGAAGTGCACACTACATGGCCTGTTCAAGACCTTTCAAAATAAAGTGAGCTTTCTTACTGTTGCACCATGCTGCATCACAAAGGAGAGGAAAAAAGAAAAAAGAAAAAAGGAAGTGTGCTGTGCAAAGTCCAGAGAGTTGTGTTAAGGTACATTAGACTATCTGCAGGCCCGCATATGCATAAGAAACAACACAGTGTATCTGTGACAGACTTGATCAGAATGTGACTGATCTTGGGTTTAGTCATCCCCTGACTGTCCTCTCTGGGTGGCTCGCTTAGCACACAAAGAACAGACAGTACCTTCACATTCACAACTCCGACAGTTGTCACAATGCGAATTTCCCCGAGGATGTGTAGGAAAGGGTTTGATGGTGGCATGATGTAGCGTTTGTCATCGTCCCTGAGTGCCATAATGCTGATTTTCTGCTGATTTCTGTGTGTAAAAGAGACACTAAAAACACCTGTCTTTATGCATTAAGGTAGTCTTGTCTTTTGTCTTATCGCTATTAATCCTGTAGGGACATTGTTGTGGTATTTCTTTAGCTGTGGATCTGTTGTTCACATGATGCTGGGAATGCCTGACGTGCAGGATGTCCACGTTGGCAGCAAACCAGCTCTGCAATCATGTTGCCAGAAGACAATAAGAAACAAGCTTGGATTTCCTGAAAAGCTGATGTGGATTTGGCAAAAAATCTTTTTTTTTTATATATATATATATATTTTGAAACCCTTTGCATTGCAGGCTCTGGTTTCTTTTCAGGAACAGGAAAGTGGGAACTATTGTTGTTTATGTCACTGTGTTAACAGGTGGAAAATAGCTTAGATTAATGACTGAGTTTTCTAGTTGTTGGGAGTGATGTGACTGCATTGTAGGTGACTGTTTAAATGAAGGCTGTAACCATCAATATAATGATCCTATTAGAAGTTGTGTAAGGTGAGAAGAGACCCATCCTTGAATCAATCACTCAGTTGAAAGAAAGTTTATCATCAACTTTGGGGTCAGTAAATTTTCAAGCAGGAGCTTCAAACATTTGAGTGAGGATTTGCTGCTTGTTTATTATTAAGTGATTCTTAACAAAACATGATTAGTCTTTGGGATTTGGACTGTTTGTTAGACAGAGGAAGAGAATTGAACATGTCAGTTTTGGCTCTCATTAATGTGATGAGCCTTTTTTTTTTGCAGCCCTAGATTGAACAGCCTAAAAAAGAAAAGGAAAAAAAAAAAAGCCTCCTTGAAGCTTCCTGTTCTTTCTACACTGAAACCTCTAAAGGCTCCGATCCTGTCTGTGAGAACAACTGCTGAGGTTATTATTGTCCCCCTCCTCCCGCCCCTGCAGCCTCGCCCCCCGCAGCCTCGCCGCCTCTCTCTCTCTGCTGAGGGTGAGGCAGAGCTAGGTGATTAGGAGATCAAAGGTCTGGGGGCATCAGGGTGGAGTAGCACCTCGGGGCGACCGGGCTGAGGTCGCACGCCGGCAGGGAGGATGCCAACCACGGGGACACTAAGCCAGGAGGGTTAATAAAGTTCTGTTGCAGGCGTGATCGCAGGCTTTGCTGTATAAATAGAGGAAACGCACATTTGCAAGTGCCAAAAAACGAGTTTTCTCACATTGACAGTCAGGGATCACTCTCATCTGGTGTCAACAAGTGTTCAAGAAGGTGTTGATGCCTCTGCATGTCACCACAGCTAATAGCACGTGTGGTTTGTGTGTAAAATATACTGTTGTTTAGCCTCGATCGTGTGTTTCTGTTCTTCTTTTTTTGCACATAATTTCCTCTCAGAGACTATGATTTGTTGAGGGGGGAAGAAATTATTGAAGCTGCTTGCATGCCTTTTTTGTTGGTTCCTACATAATATTTTATTATGAAAAGAGAAGTAGGTTTGCCACATGAAAGGGTTAGTGTCCTAATTCCATATTAAGTACCAACGGTACAATCGTGTATTCTTATTTACTGTCATGCTATTTCTGCTTTCTACTAGATAAAGGGATGATAGTATCACGTTTGCATGCTGCTGATGTTAGCTTTTAGCTCAAAATACTGCTGTGCCTTAAAGCCTCACAAAACTGCTAGTTAGGAAGTAGACTTTTAGTAGACTAATTGGCAGTCCTGCTTTCTATGCTGGTGATGTCTCCAGTTTCCTGTTCAGGCACATTATCTGCTTTTTTTTTATGTGTGTACAGGAAACCATGGCGACTGGAGCGTATAGTGTTGGATTTGGAGCTAATAAATAGCGATTTAGCATTTTCCTTTTGCAGTGTTTTGAATATGGCTATGATACCGGAAATCCTGTACATGCTGGAAAATATGATGCTACCCAGCGGACTAATCACAGGGCTTCTGCTTCAGGTAGTTATAGGATTCAGGAGGTGCACATCAGGCTATGTAGGTAGGCTTCTGTGTGAGTAGGGATCGAAGCAGAAGTATAAATCAGGCTAAATGTAAATGGATGTATGCAAATACATGTAAAACTTGAATATCTATTCACTAATGACAGGCTTGTCCTTTAATGTTTGTTTGCCCTTCACTTCTTGAATTTAAGCCGATAAAAAAGGACTTAACAGAACCTATGCATCCAACTTGTTACTGTGTGTATCTCGTCCCCAACAGCCCACACAGTAAACACAGTGTGTTGCATTGTGTGTTTGCTTTTCACATTAGGATTTAATAGAATTATGTGAAGGACGGGGATTATTTACAGAGCGCTGTATTAATATGAAGCTGTTAGAGGAGATTAAAGAACAACACGACGGAGAGAAAACGAGGAAATTCAGAGTGGATCGTCAAAGAAAGCACAGAAGAAGAATCAGGAAGATCATGGAGAGCCGAGTCAACACCACTCAGATGCATTATGGATGGAGAAAACGGTTTACTTTTCCTCTGTTTTTTATATATATATATATATATATATATATATATATATAGATATATATATATATATACATATATATATACAGTTCATAGGGTCAAGACACAAGCCCATGAGGGGACGTCTGTAAAACACTGTCTGGACATCTGTTCCTGTGTGTTCATGAGTGTGTGTGAGGCTACCCCCTAATAGAAGGTTATTTGTACTGTAGCAGATGAGTGAGTCAACAGAGAGGTCACAGCGGAGGAGTGTGTGCGGGCTAATGTTGTGGGAATGATCTGCAGGAATCAATGCATAGTTTCCCATCTTAAGGCCTCTGAGCCATTCACAGCATTCCTAAGTCATGAGGTTCCTCTTTTTCTTTTCTGAAAGAATCGCACAAAATGTCCAAGTGGGACATGGACACACAAATACTGTACACACACACACACACACACATATATAAGCACAGGATGTAGAGAAGACGATCCCTCGGCTGCAGTTTCATGGTGGGGGAGCATTTAGCGCACAAACTTGCACGTGCACAGTGGAAAATCAATACTGGATGATCTCATTGCAGTTTAATGGGTCATATTGGGCTGCAGATGATGACCCACACTGCACATGGTGACTGGGTTAATAGGAAAAGGAAAGTTTTTAAACCTCTCAAATGCCTTTTCAGCTCCCCATTAGTCCAGATATCATTCAGCTCCCTTGGTGTATTTTGAGTCTTTGTGGCAAAACATTTTGAACGTACATCTGAGAAGAGCCGACTAATATCTTTACGAAAACAGACGCCTTAATAGACCAGAATGCATTGCAACTCAACACTAGCTGTGTTGTGAGTCATTCGTTGGATTACATTCAAAGCTGGTAAACGCTGTAACAGCAAAATTTGCAAAATAGAAAAATCCCAATAACTACAGTGTATATATTTTCTCATGTATTACTTTAATGTATATAAACTCAATGTTGCTTTACAGCTCTTATGCATCATAACATTTTATCTGCGCATTACTCAGTTTTCATGCAGTTTTATTACTGACCTATTTTAACGTGCTGATATAAGGGGGCCCTCTTTTCAACATTTTAAATCTCCTGTGTTTGATTTGCTGTGACTGAATGTTACTCATAGCAAAATGTTGTAATGACACTGAGGACTCTGATACCTGATCTGTTTAATAATATCTGGTGCTGATAAATCTGGAGAATCTTTGATCAGTGCATCCCCAAAGTGTCTCCTCTGGTGTACGGGTACTGATTTGCATATTTATTCCCCACGGGGTCAGCATTTATCACACACTCTCTCATTATCGATATGCCAACCTGCCTTTATTTGTTTATCTTTCCAACGCCGAGATTGCACAAAAATGTTTCCCATCTTTCCACTTGTATGATTACTGTTTGGAGAAACATTGAGATTTGATTTTGCAAGTGTTAAATTCCCCGTGTGACCGCCTGAGCTGCTCTAAAAGTAGGGGAGACGTTATATTTTTGCGGTTTAATTTGTGTATACTACGCAAAAATATGAATGGAATCTATTTTTCACAAAGGCAAACAGCGGTGTCTATCGTAAGAGATTTGGTGAAAATCAGATGATGTTTCCTGTCTGATAATGTATTTATTCAACAATGCTCCATATCATGGCTGTAGGATTAAAGTTCAAATCATTACATGGATGTTTGGGGGAACTATCAGTGTGGGAAAGGTCAGAATAAGATTGACTTTGAATCATCTTCATATGCAGACCAATATTAACAGTGATGATACATTTATAACGACAGTCTTTAATCATACTCCTCACATCCTGTGTATGGTCTGTGTGTGTGTGTGTGTGTGTGTGTGTGTGTGTGTGTGTGTGTGAGACAGCGCACTGACTGTGATGGAGTGATGCTGATTGAAAGTTAATACACCCGGGAGAGAATGAGTCATGATACAGCAGATGGTTGCTCGTCCCCCCCT